TTTTTTTCATCAAAATTAAGACAAGTGAATAAGCTTTAAGATGATATCAATAACTCGACATGCCCAAGAATTGACGAGAGCCTGATTCCACCACGCTGCCTCTCATTTCATTATTTTGACGAGCGATTGATTTCACCATGATGCCACATATATTTTTAAAAATATCCCATAAGACCTTGTATTGGAGACTCTTGAGGAGCTGCTAACAGGAACAGATACGTGTTTACGAGTAACAATGCAACGACTTGAAAGAGAGATCTAACGTTTAGTAGACAATCAAGCCAATACTCGACAATAAATGGGATCGTTTCATGGCGTCGTTATCTCCTTCATTGCCCTGTCCGAGACTGTACGTTCTCTTAGATAGCAATTATTCGACAGGTGTGGCAGGAAAAAGGTTAAAGCCTCATTTCTATCAAAAATGGACGGTATTACCTGGGAGTCGACTTCAACATTTTTGGTATTGAAATCCAACTCAACAATAACAAAATAATGGTGAAATCAAATTGTATAATTGTAATGCCCGTAGGAACACTATTACTGTTAGGTTATTTAAGAGGCTGGACCTTCGAGTGTTACGTCCATCTCCGAAAGGACTGAGCCACAAGGCAAATTTGTGTAAAGTGTCTCTCCCAAGGACACAACGTCGGACCGAGCCACAAGGCAAATTTTTGTTATGTGTCTCTCCCAAGGACACAACGTCGGACCGAGCCACAAGGCAAATTTGTGTAAAGTGTCTCTCCCAAGGACACAACGTCGGACCGAGCCACAAGGCAAATTTGTGTAAAGTGTCTCTCCCAAGGACACAACGTCGGGCCGAGCTGAGGGCAACACTAACGGGAACTGAATCTTTGCTAGTGCCTGTGAAAAGTAGAAGTCGACGATTTTGGCACACTTGGCTGTCATCTTGAGGAACATAATACGGAAGATAAAAGTTCGAACCTGATTTGTGGTGCTGTGCTATGTTCTCTCTGTTTTATACCATGTTGTTAATGTGCGATACCCTGTGGTTCTGTGTGATATTTTGGGGTGTTGTTTGATACCATGACATAGTTCTGTCTGATACCCTGTGGTTCTGTGTGACGATACCATGCGGTGGTGATACTTTGTGACGCTGCTTGATACTTTGTGGTTCTGTGTGATATGTGAGGCAGCGTATTGGAATCAGGCTCTCGTCAATTTTTGAGCATGTAGAGTTATTGGTATCATCTTAAAGCTTGTTCACTTGTCATTATTTGGATGGGGAAAAATCCATTTATCTTGAATACGAGTCGAGATATTTGCGAATGAAGGAGGTGGGGGTTACCTGTTTTCAGAGGTAAAATTAATCAGAAAATGGCCGTCAAAGATTAGTAATTTACAGAGCTTAAGAGTCCGTGGTAACTGAAATTTTTTATTTTTTGGGCCTTTAATCAGCGTTTTTCATAAAGATCCACACACAAATCAGTTCTTTAATGGGCATGAAAGGTGTTGAGCCAAAAAACAAAAATTTTATAAAAATTCACAAACCTGCGGAAAAATGCAAGTTTCTTCCCTTTGATTATTTTGATGAGAGCCTGATTCCACCACGCTGCCTCACATATTTTTTTTAATCTGTAAGATACCATGTGGTGCTGTGTGATGATACTATGTGGTTCTGTGTGATACTTTATGTTGCTACCATGTGGTTCTGTATGATACTTTGTGGTGCTGTTTGATACCATAATAATATAGTGCTGGGTGATACTTTGGGATGCTGGGTGATACTTTGTAGTTCTGTATGATACCATTCGATTCTGTGTGATACTTTGTGATGCTCTGTGATACCATTCGGTTCTGTATGATACCGCGTGATGCTGTCTGATACTCTGCCGTGCTAATGATACTTTGAGGTGTGGTGTGATACCCTTTGTTACTTTGTGACTGTCTGCCCATGTCCTGTTCTGCCATACCCTATAGCGCTGTGTGATTCTGTACTTTTCTTTGTAGTACTTCTTGATACAACTTTGTGCATTCATTTATTCATAGTCAGTGGTGTGGCTTACTTTGATACTCTGTGACACAACGCATTGCCTTTCGCTGCCCCGAGGTGTTGGTGTCAAGTGTTTGCTTGAGGATTACTGGGACATAAGACTCAGACTGTATATTGATATGCTTAGTGCATGACTCCGCGAGATCGTTACCTCAGTGATACAAAGTTCTATCTGACAAGTTTGGTCGTTTTGAGTTACTAAGACTATGTGGTCAGATATCAAATGCTCTATTTATTGCTCCATCAAAATTGAACGATTTTTCGTAGTCGTTATCAAGATATTCAAAGAACTGCATTTGAAAAAGCTTGACATAATGCTACCTAAGAATTACATCGTTATACCTTCTCAGTACCTAGTTTTGGGAAATTTGACGTCAAAGATTTTGAGTTTCATATCATGTCAATCTATTTAAAATGCAATTCTTTGAATATATTGAAAAGGACTCAGAGTAATTGTATGATTTTGATAGAGCAGACAGAACACTTGGTTTCTGACTTCATAGTCTTAATAACACAAAACGGCCAATAATGTCAGATAGAACTATGTAATTCTGAGGTGGCGATAATATTGTGAAACTCAAAATCTTTGACGTCAAATTTCTCAAAACTAGGTACTGAGCAGATAGAACTAAGTAATTCTGAGGTATAGCAACACGCCATTTTGAAAAGTGACTTGGCGCTCATATGACCTTATGCAGTTGCGAGCGCCGTAAAACCTCTACTAAAACTAAACAGAAAAGTGACTGACATATGACGGAATCGTTTTTCCACTCAACAGTTTTGACACGCCCTCTCTTTCTCACCCCGCGCGATCCGTCAGACCATGTTGTCGAGACCACTTAAAGCTAGAACGGTCATTCAGACTGCAGGAAAGGCGTGTTCGTTTACCACTACTGACTGACCAACGTCTTTTGTTGTCGTCTGGACAGCTGACCCTCACGAGGCCCTTATACAGCCACTTGTGTGTGTGTGTGTGTGTGTGTGTGTGTGTGTGTGTGTGTGTGTGTGTGTGTGTGTGTGTGTGTGTCGGGAAATTAAGCAGATTACAACTTAGTTGCTGAGGTTTTAGTGTAACCCAAGGGGAAATGAGCTGAGGAAGGATATCTTAACCTTTCTCTTGTGTCTTCTCTGTCTGCTTCTCTTTACCTTTCTGTCTGAATGTTTTACTGTTGGTCTGTCAGAGATAGACAGGGAGATAAATAAAAATAGTAAGTGTATGGTTTTAGCGCATCTGTCAAAACTGGTAGATAATTCACGAGGCGGAGAGAGAGAATGAGAGAGAATGACCTCCGTTATAATTTTTTTTCATAAAAATCATTTTAAGAACTTAAAAAAGGACAACTAACGAAACGAAACGCAAGAGGCTACGTAACGAACACATGGTCAGTCAAAATTATGTTATCACTAGTGTGGGATAAACTCAGGAACAGAATACAAAATGTCATAATATAATATTTCCCCTCGAAACGTGTGTCAAGGTTATTCTGTAGATCGCTGGCTTTTGTGTAATGATCATGATTGTGATCAGTAAATTCTGAATAATAAATAATGATTTCTTTTTTCTTATTAATCTTATGTGCCCTGCCCAATTCTATGAGATTGACGCCATCTGATTAGTAGAAGAAGGTGCGTATGATAGTGCCAAAAAAGTGTTCTACGTACATACTTATTGAACATGTAATTGTTACCGATAGAGATTAAAGGAATATAGATGTGTGGCAAGGAGCTGAGAGCAATGGTGATTTTAGATCATATTATGGCTATGGGGATTTATGATATGAGATGGTGTTTATGTAAATAACTATCGAGGAGGCATGCGTTCACTCACTGTTAGTCGAGGGTTAATCCTAGAAATATCAATGTGAGGCAGCGTGGTGGAATCAGGCTCTCGTCAATTTTTGGGCATGTAGAGTTATTGGTTTCATCTTAAAGCGTGTTCACTTGTCTTTATTTGGATGAAAAAATATCCATTTATCTTGAATACAAGTCGAGATATTTGCGAAAGAAGGGGGTGGGGGTCACCTGTTTTCAGTGGTTACTATAAATTTACATTTTTATGCCTTTAATCAACGTTTTGCAGAAAAATCCACTGCGAAATTAGTTCTTTAAGGGGCATGAAAGGTGTTGAGCCAAAAAACAAAAATTTGATAAAAATTCACAAACCTGCGGAATATTGAAAGTTTCTTCACTTTGATTATTTTGACAAGAGCCTGATTCCACCACGCTGCCTCACAAATGATTTCTCTCATACTTGTCGCTATCCTAGAATTACAACGTTCTATTTGCTCAATAACTAATCTATTTTTTTTGAGAAATTTGGCGTTAAAAATGTCGACTTTCTCAACTCGTCAATCTTTTAAAAATGCAATTCTTTAAATATCTTGATAACGACTCCGAATAATAATATTTCTTATGATTTTGATAGATCAGATAGAACATTAAGTGTCTGACCTCATGGTCTAAGTAACTCATAACAAGCCCAAAACGTCAGTTAGAACTTTGTAATTCCTAGGAAGCGTTTCCGTGTGCAAGTTGCACACGTTAAAGACCCCTTGGTGGTCAAAAATCGATAAGACTGGGCTTTGGTCGCCACTCGGACAAAATTTAAAAATTTCCTACCATATAAAAAAGTTTAATGTGTCCTGCACGCTCATATGACCTGATACGGAAAAAAGAGAAATCCAAAACGAAACCTTGTGTTATCATAATTGGTCGCTTTTAAGGACAAGTGGGCTAACCCAGATTTCGGGGGTTTCCAGAAATCTTGACTTATACAAAAGGTGGGCATTGCCCTACCTGTATGAGAAGTTTGGTTTCATTGGTGTGTATATTTGTTACGTTATAGAGAAAACTCTCTTTGTCTTTTAAAGAAACTGAACAAGGGGCAAAATCTGAACCGTCGATTTTCTCATAACATCATTTTCGAGATAGCTCCCTTGTGCTTAAAAGCGACCAATGTTGACATATCAAATGATAATGACTGACTGAC